TTTTTATCTGAGCTATCCCTGTGGCCCAAAAAGGTTATTTTAAATACACAAAATCTGAAGAGTCAAGCCAGTGCCAGAGACTTGTTGTCTCAGCTACTTGAGAGACAGGTCTGAGGATTGCCAGTTCAAGGTCAGTCTATGCAGCTTAGTGAGACTCGGTCAAAAGACTGGGGATCTAGCTTTAGGACAGGTCACTTCTTTGCATGTGTGATATCCTAGTTTCAACCCCTAGTGCTGACAACAAAGTCTAGCTGTCATAAAATCTACAAGTTGAATGACCCAGATTCTGTAAAATGTCCTAATGGTATAGTATTTGTCAAGATGTTTATATGAAAGTTACAAAGCAGAACCAAATACAACAAGCAGTGGCCAAAAAAAAAAAAAAAAAAAAAAAAGCTATTAGAAAGAACCAAGCTTATTTCTTCAATACATTTGCTTTAAAGGCTGCATAGGTCTTTCCTCAGAAAACAGAAGAAAGGGAATAAAACTTAAAAGACATAACTTAGAGGACAAAGTTCAAAGAATGTCCTTAGTATAGTCAGAGGATAAAGAACTCCACAACCTTGTCTAGCAATATGCCAGCGTTGCTATAGACCAGGATCAAAACCTCCCATTCTTTCCTAAACAGGATTAATTCAAATTGTTTCATGTCCTTTGTGTATTGGGTCAGAATTCAGAAAAGGTAATAGTCCTTACATCCTTCGACTATATGGGATGATATAAGTCTCACAGTACACCTGGACATTCTAGGCATTGAGCTGAGTGCAGTGACTCCATAGAGGCCTGCTTGAATCCACAGGATTTTTTGAAAAAAAGAGCTGAAGGTGTTGGATTTTATGTATAGTATTCATTGAATCAATCTGTTATTAAATACCATTTGATGAGCATTTCAGCCAGATTTGAGAATATAAGTGGTAAGCACACAGTACAGTAGCACACACATAGTGAGACTATTGCCCAAACTAAACAAAATAGGCAAACAAAATGTCTGCATTCATGGAGCTGACAGTCTGAAAGGAGGAATACATGTAGCATTTATTCCATCTGCTTCAGTAGCTTCTCTGGCCACTCAGTACCTACTGCC